CCAGCAGCATCGGGAGTCTCGCTGTCCAGACTTGAGGAGTTCTGTGCAACTCACTGCTTCTGTTGGTCTCCCCCCTTGTCCCTTGCTCTCTCTTGTCACCATGGAGGTTGAGTTTTCCTTTTTTCTCACCTCTTCCCTAGACTCTCTCTTCTCACTTGCAATCCTCCCGCTGAGCCACCACCCTGTTGGTGTCAGGGAAGTGATTTTGTCACGTTCAAAGACACACACTTGGTCTTGTCGCTGTCTGACCTCATTTTCTGGCGTCTCGCCATTCACTGTGAATGCAATTGAAATGCTTCAGAGTGGCCAGTGCAGCCCCTGAGTGTCTTCCTTGTCGATCCCTCGAGCCCTCTCTGACATCCTGTCCTGTTTGCTCAACCACACTTGCTGTCCAGCTGTTCAGACTCCTCAGGGTTGCTGATGATGCCACGTCCTAGCTCCCTTTGCCTTCCGTGTCACTTCTTTTTGTTCTCCGTCCCACTGTCTGCTTTAACTACCTACGTGCTCCAGAAAGCCTGCTCTGTTAGCTTTGTAGACCACTGCTGAGTATTCACTGAATGAGTTTCCTGGTTCCTGAAACCTGTCCCACCATATTCTTTTTTTTTTTTTTTTTAAGTTTTATTTTATTTATTTGAAAGACAGAGTTACAGAGAGAGGTAGAGACAGAGAGAGAGAGAGGTTTTCCATCCACTGGTTCACTCCCCAGATGGCTACAACGGCCGGAGCTGTGCCGATCTGAAGCAAGGAGCCAGGAGTTTCTTCTGGGTTTCCTGCGTGGGTGCAGGAGTCCAAGGACTTGGGCCATCTTCTGCTTTCCCAGGCCATAGCAGAGAGCTGGATCGGAAGAGGAGCAGCTGGGACTAGAACCAGTGCCCATATAGGATGCCGGCACTTCAGGCCAAGGCGTTAACCCGTTGTGCCACAGCGCCGGCCCCATTCCACCATATTCTTGTTCTCCTCTGCCTTCCTCCCCTTCTTTAGCCCCAACTTGTACCTCTGTCAGTACCTTCTTTGGTAGGTTCTAGTATTTACTGAATGGGTTAACAGAGAATGAACCACAAATTCCTCCTAGTGGGTGTGATGCTGGTTTTTTGTTACATGAAAAGGGTTTATCTTCTGTGTAGAGCCTTCTGGATAAATGTAAGAACACATTGCTAAGTGATTATACCTGTGAGGGTACTTCAAGCACATTGTGGAGGAACGGGTGTTGAGGTCTGGTGGGGTAAGCTGCTTCTTAGGACTCCTGCATGCCATATTGGAGTACCTTTTATTGGAGTCCTGCCTCCTCCACTTCTGAGAGTTTCCTACTAATGTGATCCTGGTGGCAGGTGAAGGCTCACTTGGTTAAGTCCCTGGCATCCATGTGAAAGACTAGGATTGGGTTTGGGATTCCTGGTGTTGGCCTGGCCCAACACTGGCTATTGCAGGCATTTGAGGAGTGAACTCACAGATGGAAGATCTTTCTCTGCCTCTTTGTTTTGCCCTGTTATTCTTACAAATAAATTAAAAAAAAGATTATGGTAAAAATGGATAGCATATAGTTTCCATGAACTTTTTTTTTTTTTTAAGATTTATTCATTTGTTTGAGAGGCAGAGTTACAGAGAGAGGTCTTCCATCTGCTGGTTCACTCCCCAAATGGCCGCAGTGGCTGGAGCTGGGCTGATTCGAAGCCAGGAGCTTCCTCCAGGTCTCCCACATGGGTGCAGGGGCCTAAGCATTTGAGCCATCTTCCACTGCTCTCCTAGGCCATTAGCAGAGAGCTGGGTTGGAAGTGGAGCAGCCAGAACTTGAACTGGTGCCCATATGGGATGCCAGTGCTGCAGGCAGAGACTTAACTTACTATGCCACAGCACTGGCCCCTCCATGAACTTTTGAAGACCCCTTGTGTGTGTTTGAGAATTTACCAGGAAAGAGATTGATAAGGAGTTTGCAAATGTGTCTTCCCTTAAGTAATTTTTCACTATTATGATCAATGTGCTCTCTGTTTCCTTGCCTGTATGATTTTTTAACTCACTGTGGAAACACAGAGTGCTTGTATGTTTTAGGAAGTTCAGGTAACACCTCATATCTATGAAAAATAATCTGTGCTCCTATAAAGCATTGTTGACAGCTTGTCAGTGGGGCAGAGAAGACTGGACACGTCCTGAATTGTTTTCCAGCCCAAACAGATTCACCTCAGTGAGCATTCATAGTGACAGTGCACTCCAGTGTCAAGTTAGAATGTACTATTTGGATCCTTTTGGAATAAATCAGAATTTAGGCATGAGCTCAGTTCATTTCATTACATGTATCGATTATTTCTATCTCCCTTTCCTAGCTGAAGGTACGTCTAACACTTTGCACTATCTGTCAGTGTTGAGAATTATGTTTGAGAAAAGATAATTTGTTTTCGCTGGGTTCTAGGACTTGTTCAGTCAGTGCTCAGAGAAGGGAGATAGTTTGAATGAATTCGATAGCAGTGTTGGGGGAGTGCTTTGCCTGCTGTTTAGCATACCTGTGTCCTACATCACAGTACCTGGGCTCAATACCTGGCTCCGGCTGCTGACTCCAGCTTCCTGCTAATGCAGACTCTGGGAAGCAGCAGTGATTGGTTGGGTTTCTGTTACCCATGTGGGAGAACTGGGTTGAGTTCTCAGCTCTGGGTTCTGCATGGCAGAGACTCAGCAGTTGTGGGCATTTGGGGAGTGAGCTAGAGAATGGGAGCTCTGTGCTTCTCTCTCTCTCTCTCATATAAATAAAAATTTTAAAAAATAAAAATATGTTGTTGGTGGTTTTTGCCCCTACTTGTACCCTACACTATTTGTTTCTAACCTAAAAATGGGCCGCAGTTTTATCTAAGAGTAATATTAAGAATATTAGTTTGTACTTTTCAGATATTCACATTAGCTCGTAAGTAACAGAAAGTATAATATTAGAATGATATTGTGTGATCATAATTTCAGTGGTTCTGCAAATTTCTACTTTATACTTCCATTTGCTTTTTGTGTCGATACTCATTTACCTTTTTCTATCCTAGTCATACAGCATGATTCAATAAATGCTCTTTCTTATTTTTATTTGTTCTAAAATATCTCTAGTTTCAGTGTATTTTGGTCTCTAAGGAGTTTGTTCCACGTGTAAATCCAGTCTCTTCGTGTGTTCCTCTAAGGCATTTCAGCTTTTTTTTTTTTTTTTTTTTGACAGGCAGAGTGGACAGTGAGAGAGAGAGACAGAGAGAAAGGTCTTCCTTTGCCGTTGGTTCACCCTCCAATGGCCGCCGCGGCCGGCGCGCTGCGGCCCGCGCACCGCGCTGATCCGATGGCAGGAGCCAGGAGCCAGGTGCTTTTCCTGGTCTCCCATGGGGTGCAGGGCCCAAGCACCTGGGCCATCCTCCACTGCACTCCCTGGCCACAGCAGAGGGCTGGCCTGGAAGAGGGGCAACCGGGACAGAATCCGGTGCCCCGACCGGGACTAGAACCCGGTGTGCCGGCGCCGCAAGGCAGAGGATTAGCCTAGTGAGCTGCGGCGCCGGCCTTCAGCTTCTTATGACCGATGCTCAGTTTTCTTTCTTTCCCTTTAGTTTATCAGCTCGCTGTTCTTTTCATAAGCCTCCTGCATTAGAATCCCTTTGCCATGTCATGCTTTTGTTCCACATTCGAGTTTTGATTCTGTGTGTTTAAGTTAATGTGCAAAAAAAAGTTAGTGAACTTGTACTTTTGGAATTCTCTACTAAGAGGAGAATACACATGCAGTTAAATCTCTGATTCAAATTATATATATATGTATATATATATGCATATATATATAGTAAGAAGTTGAAATTCATACTTAAATTACTTATTTTTATTCTTACTAACTTTCTAGTATTTCCTTGTGTTTGGTCAGCAAAAAATATTAGGTATGTAACATGAGGATGAAGAAATTAATTGTATGAAGGAATTGCAAGTTAAATTATATTGGTTTATAATGGATGGATATTTGGTAATATTTTTAATGCCAAGAAACAGTGAAGACAGAACAGTGATTTAGTAAAGTTTTGTGATATCTGTAGCTCATATTTTAAGATATTCATTTCATTAAACTACAAGAGTACTTCAAAAGTTCATTGACAAATGAAACAAATTTATTTTGGTACAAAAAAATGAAATCCATGCATAGATTTTTATCTTACTCATTTTCCAAGAACTTCTTGAAATTCCCTTATATATAACTGAAAAAAGATCTGAACTTTAATCCTTTAATCATAATTTTAATGATCAAATCTTTGCTTTAAAATTTCAGCTTTGATCTAGTAATTTTAAATCTAAGCATCTAGCTAAGGAAATAAAAGACTTTTAAGCTTCATGTCCTAAGATATTTACAGTGGTTAAAAGCAGATGACATCATAAATTTCTTTTAAAAAGAGAGGGTTGTCAAATGTATTATGTAGAGATACTGGAATATTAAGTGGCCATTAAAAAATAAAATGTTTACAAAATATTCCTAATGGCACGGGAAAGGATTTACGATATGACATCAGTGAGACAGATGTGCGAACTTTATATAATGTACTTTCAACCAAATGGAAGAATTTTAAGAGATTAGAAGGGAACACATCAAATTGGTAAGGATGATTAGCCCTGGGTGGTAGAATTATTCATGCATTTTTTCAATTAATCTTATTTAGTACACTGTTACTGTTGGTTTTGGAAGACATATGCTAAAAGACAAAATCCATAGTTTAGAATTTAGTAATCATTTTTATGAAATTTCAAGAAAAAATAAGTATGTTTTAAAAAATAGATGTTTATCTTCATATTAGAGAAGGCATTATTATAATTTTTCTCTTTTTGGTTTGCAGGCATTCCTAAAAGGTTATACACTGAAAGTTCAACCTTTTTGTACACTGGGAGGCTAGACTTAGTGGGATCTAAGAGGGAGAGAAAAGATTTAAAGGCAATTCAACCAAGTATTTGAAGCATGAACGTGGAGTATTAGTATGTGGCTCTTCACGGGATTTTCTCTCTTCTGATTTCTGCAGTATCAAGTCATGGGTGGATAAGATGCAAGAAGACCTGGTCACACTGGCAAAAACAGCAAGTGGAGTCAATCAGCTTGTTGATGTGAGTAAAACCCACCAAGAGACTTATCCGTCTTTTCTTTCATGTGAATGCAATTCTATCTTCTAGGAAGCTGCCTTTCTGGGGTTGGCAGCTAGGATATGATTTGTCGTTGGAATCCAGTGGTGAGTTTGTGAGAGGGACCTTGGTGCAGCTAGTTATTGTGATCAGGAAGTGGCCTCTGAAGCTTAAAGAAACTTTCACGCCACACCCTACTGTTCACACAGCCTCCCTCAGATGAGATCGCATAGTGTGCATTCTCCCTCCACACTCAAACCACAGGCTTAAGCACGTGGCACCCCGTGTTTCCATTCTTCAGAACATCTTGCAGAATCCCTCATAGAGTGGTAACCTCAAGTACTGTGTTGGATTCTTTTGTCCTTTGAATATCCTCAGTAGGAACACACTTTTCTTTCTTAGAGGGTACATTTTAATTCTTCTTTTAAAGATTTCTTTAATGCATTAATTTGAAAAGCAGAATGACAGAGAAAGAGAGACAGAGATCTTCCATCTGCTGGTTCACTCCCCAAATGCGTGCGACAGCCAGGGCAGGGTTAGGCCAAAGCCAGGAGCCAGGAACTCCATCCAGATCTGCCACATGGGCAGCAGGGACTAAGTACTTGGGCCATCCTTCTTTGCCTTCTGAGGCACATTAGCAAGGAGCTGGACCAGAAGTTGGAGCAGCCAGGATTTAAACCTATGCTCGGATATAGGACATCAGCATTGCAAGTGGCAGCTTAACCCGCTGTGCCATAATGCTGGTACCAGTAGATTTTTGTCTTTAAAAACACTTGAAAAGTGTTTACAGCCATTAGTCATTGAATTAGTCATTGAGACTGTTTATAAAGGTTTAGGCACAAGAAATGAAGATACTTTACAGTATGATTTTTCTTATGATTTCTGAACTGGCTAGGTAAACCTGTGTGTGTGTATAGTTTCTAAAATTGCTTTCCTTGGTTAAAGACATGTTCTTGGTTCTGTGAGATTTAGTAAAAATTAAACGTGTTTTCTTTTAGAGTCTCACTACTTCCACATCAGTGTAAGTAATGCAGCAGTCTGAAAGTTCTCTTGTGTTCTTAGTGATGCAGTGAGGCCTTCTATATGCCAAAACTGCCATGGGGTAATGAGGTGAAATGGTATAATGGCAGTTTCATGTTCAATATGTGACTACTTACACAAGTTGAGTATCCTTTATCCAAAATGCTTGAAGCCAGAATTTTTCAAATTGTAGAATGTTTCCATATACATTATGAGATATCTTATGGATAGACTGTAAGTCTGCACATGAAATTGATTCATGTTTCATATATACCTTATCCACATAGTCATATCCACATAGGTAATTTTATCCAATCTGTTCAGCATACCTGTGTTTTGAATGAGACCCATCACATAAAGTCAGGTGTGGAGTTTTACACTGTGGCATCATGTCGATACTCAAGAACTTTCTGAGTAAGAGCATTTTGGATTAGGAATGCTCAGTCATATATCAGTATTACTCTCTGGGAGAAACTGGATTGTACAGTTAGCTTGTGTATTAATAGAACTTAGTAAATAAACCATAAGCAAATACTTCAAATATTCCAGAATTTCTTAAAAATGTTTGCAGGTTTTGAAAAAAATGTTTATGTATTGAGAGACAGAGGAAAGAAGAGAGAGAGAAAAGAGAATTTTCTATCCATTAATTCAATCCCCAAATACCTGCAAAAGCCAGGGTTGGGCGAGGCTTAAGCCAGGAGCTGGGAATTCCATACGTGTCTCCTACATGGGTGGCAGCGCCCGAGTACTTGTGCCATCATCTGCTGCTCTGAAGTTGAATTAGCAGGAAGGTGGGTCAGAAGTAGAGGAGCTGGAACTGGAACTGACACTGCATTATTGAATATGAGCATCCAAGTAGCTGTTTAACCTGCTTTACCACAATGCCCACCCCACATTTATTGCCTTGTAATTAAGACTGTTAAACAAGCCTAAATGCAGTCTGAGCATCCCTGATCTGAAAATTTGAAATCCAGAATGCTTCAAAATCCAAAATGTTTTGGGCTTAGCATGATGCCACAAATGAAAAATTGCACTCCTGAGCTTGTGTGATGGGTCACGTCAAAAGGTAGGTACGTAAAGATACTGGATAAAATTGCCTTCAGGCTATGTGTATAAGGAACATAAACCAATTTTGTGTTTGCACTTGGGTCCCCTCCCCAAGATATCTTATAATGTATATATAAATATTCCCAAATCTAAAATCCTCCCACATCTAAAACAATTCTTGATCTAGTCATTTCAGGTAAGAGATATTCAACCTGTATCTGTGAAATAAAGAATGTATTTGAAAATTGAAAAGTGTTCCTTGTTAATAGCAATCAGGTTTAATTCCAGTCGACACCCACAAAGCACATGATGTGTCCCAGGTGTTGTGCAGGCCACCAAGGGTACACAAAGAAACCCAGTTCCTGTCCTCAAGGAACCTAGTTCTGGTCATCAAACATCTTGATTGCTGCCAATGCAAAGTTGTTGTAAGCTGACACTTGGGGATCAGCAGTGACTCATTGTTAGGCACAGGGGTGAGAATATGAAAGTAAGTAGGATAGTCAATGAGCTGCTTTTAAATGATGGAGTCTGTGAATGTTCCCACAAGTGACTTTCATTAATTTTCATTTAAATACTCTTTAAATTGATGGAGGGGAAGGCTCAGCAAAAATGAGAAAAAAAAATGAGAGATTATGGATTCTGTATTGATAGATGGAGAATATAAATAAACTGCCTTTGGGAGCCTCTCCTACACTCCTTCAGTCTTCTCCCGCCTGAAAAGCCGCTTGCATGCCTGACCTCCTTGTTAGGTTTGGTGCCAACTTGTTGCCCAGTCTGCATTTGCAGTGAATGATTCTGTGGTCCCAGTCTTAACCTGATAGTTGTTATGGCTCTAGGAATTGTAGAACACCAGGAAGATTGCAAATGTTGATGAGTGAGTAAATGATCTTGTCTGGATTAGGTTAACAGAATAGAAGGGAAAGGATGAAAGAAAAATCCTCACAATTTTCTGTTTAGGAGACACATACCTCATTACAGTGACCAAAAAATGACAAATAAAAGAATTTTATAGGGGACATTTGGGGACATTTAGTCTATTGGTTAAGATGACATATCCCATGCAGAAATACCTGGGTTTGATTTCCAGGTATGGCTCCTGATTCCAGCTTCCTGCAGACCCTGGGAGGCACCAGGTCATGACTCTAATAATTAGATTCCTTGGGGTCCATCCAACCCTGTGGGAGACCTGGATTAAATTCCCAGATCCTGGTTCCTTTTCCTTGGCTCAGGACCATTGCATTAATTTGGGTAGTGAACCAGGGGCGGGAGCTCTCTCTGCCTCTTGCTTTCTGCCTATCAAATACATAAATAATTTTGAAAAATAATTGTATATTACGTAATGGAGGGCACTGCTAGAGATACAGTAGCATTCATTATTGGAAAAAGTAATTCCAGTATTAGAGTGCATGAAATGTGTCACTTTACAAAGATCAGTAATTTCACGTGCCTCATTCCTGATGCCTACAGCAACATAATGTGCACCGAAGCAGTTAATTTCTTTGACCATGAGAACTTAAAGCAAAACCTGGAGGTTGTAAAGTGAGGACCAGAGGTTGAATAAATGGAGGAATTCAGCAGATCTCTGGATGGAGATTCAGTGCCGTGGAAATGGTAACTCTTCTGAAATTAGTTAATACAGCTGTGTTTACTTACTTCACAGGGCTCAGCCAGCTTATAACATGAAGGCCAAGAACCAGTGCATTGTGGCAACATAGGTACAACAGTACATCTTGGCAATTTTATAAAAACTGCTTATGGCTTCCGAATATATTAGTCTAGGGAAGGTTTATAAAGGTTACTGAGTACCTTAACAGAGAAGAAATTTTCCCCAGGTCTCTGCCCATCTTATGTTAAAAAACAAGAATGACGAAGCATAAGTAGCACCCTTGTCCTGGATGAATTCAATTTTTTTTAAGGGAAAAGGTTTACTGTTGGATGGGGACACACACTTACCCCACCCCACATGAATTCAAGTTTAAAACTAGCTTTTTCTCAACTCTTTCATTTTCTAATCATTTGGAGAATACACATGTGTAAATTGCATATGCTAATCCACAAAGTAGATGAAATAATTGAGGGAAGAAAAAAACATGGGAAAACAAAGAGGTCCTGCAGTTCTTTTCCTTTTCCTTTTTTTTTAGTGCATTTAATGTGGAAGAACCTTTTCAAAAGCTAAAGGACCTCGTTTTATTCCCATTAATGCTAGCGGTGTGCTCCGCCTGGTACATACATTACCTCAGTAGTCTGCAAGACAACCTTATGCAGCAAGCATCATCATCTTCAATGTGCATGAGGGGATCGTTTGTAAGGTTAAAATTTTGTTCTGGGTTACACAACTACGAAATTGAATGTAATTCTGAAATGTAAAATAAAAATTTTTGTGTGCTTTAGAATTTTACATTTTTATAATTCTATGTGTACTTGGGGAAAGTAAGCACATCCCCAACTAAGTACAAAGTTAGCTTATCTGGTTCTGTTACCGCTCTTTTTTTTTTTTTTATTTTTTTTTATTTTTTATTTTTTTGACAGGCAGAGTGGACAGTGAGAGAGAGAGACAGAGAGAAAGGTCTTCCTTTGCCGTTGGAGGCAATGGCCGCCGCGGCCGGCGCGCTGCGGCCGGCGCACCGCGCTGATCCGATGGCAGGAGCCAGGAGCCAGGTGCTTTTCCTGGTCTCCCATGGGGTGCAGGGCCCAAGCACCTGGGCCATCCTCCACTGCACTCCCTGGCCACAGCAGAGGGCTGGCCTGGAAGAGGGGCAACTGGGACAGAATCCGGCGCCCCAACCGGGACTAGAACCCGGTGTGCCGGCGCCGCTAGGCGGAGGATTAGCCTAGTGAGCCGTGGCGCCGGCTGTTACCGCTCTTTTTAAAAGAGATACAAAAGCCCAGGCTCAGCCACCAACAATTATCCACTCATG